GTTTAATATGTTTTATGAAACAAGAACAGTTAGAAATAATAAAAAGGTAAAACCACAGATTTGTTTACTTTACTGTAATCTGTGCTTTAAATCAATCTGACTGTTTATTATAAAACAGATGATTTATTGCTTCTGTTTGTTGGAAAATACTTGAAGACATAAAAAAAATCACAGATCAAATCACAAATTATAGATAAAAAATCACAGTTAGCTTATTTTCCAACATCATTCAGCCCATGTCTGTACGCAGACCTGCCTCTGTCCTGTGGAGGACTTTAACCCTTTCCCTCCTCTGTCTCAGCACCTACAACTTCCTGTCTGACGGCTTCACCGGCGCCAGCAGCGGCGGAGCGGCGGGAGCAGCGGCGGGGGTCCAGGGAGGGGTGGAGTGGATGAGGAAACTGGCCTTTCGTTACCGCCGCCTAAAAGAGATCTACAACAGCTACAAGGGCAACGTGGGAGGTGAGTGTCAGCGAGGCCCCCCACAACACACCTGTTCACAGGTCCACAGGTACCGCTCTCTGATCCTCAGGTCTGCTGAGCCCCATGAAGAGGGAGCTGCTGTCACGGCTCCGCTCAGAGATCGAGAACGTCACCGACATCTGGCTCAGCACGGCGCTCAAGTCCCTGCTGCTCATCCAGTCCAGGTCAGGACCTGAACAGAGCCGGAGGGTCTTCATCTGCTGCTGGAGGAGTAAACTGTGTGTGTGTGTGTGTGTGTGTGTCTGTGTGTGTGTGTGTGTGTGTGTGTGTGTGTGTGGCAGTGCCTTCATGTTTGTGTTGGTCTCCCTGCAGGAGTTCAGCAGCTACAGCTCTCTGAGTCAGGCTCAGTTCTCTCAGTATTACACGCTGCCTCCCAGCTACGTTCCTGCTGGGCTGCCGGGCAGCGACGACCCGGGGGCGGGGCCGGGGGCGGGGCCGGGGGCCGGTGTCGCAGAATACTCAGCGGTGAAGTCAGAGGAGGCCGCCTCAGCTGGACTGCCTCCCAGAGGTGATTCACCTGCTGTGATTTATCCAGAATATTGAACCTGTGTCTGAACCTCCCTCTGTCCTGCGCCTCCTTACAGATGCGTCTCCACCTGAGAACCTCCCCACAGGTGCGTCCCTCCCCTCAGGTGGAGCCAGAGATCAGGACGAGCTGGAGCGCAGGAACTCTGTGGGCAAATCCAAAGGGAAGGCCAAGAAGTCGGACAGCTCCCCGCCTCCTGACAGTGACCTGGAGGTAATCCAGGTTCTCCTCAGGTTCTCCTCAGGTTCTCCTTCGTCTCCTGGTCTTCAGAGATGAAGATCTGTCATGTGTTGCTGTTTTCAGCGTGTTTTCCTCTGGGACCTGGACGAGACCATCATCATCTTCCACTCCCTGCTCACCGGCACCTACGCTCAGAAGTTTGGAAAGGTGGGAGCCGAGGAGCCGACAGGTATGGAGCTGAGACAGGTGCTGGTTTGATTCCTGACACGTGGCTCTGTGGTGTGCAGGAGCCGGCCACTATGCTGAACCTGGGCCTGCAGATGGAGGAGCTGATCTTTGAGCTGGCAGACACACACCTGTTCTTCAACGACCTGGAGGTATGCTGACACTGCTGCAGACATCAGAGAGGGGGAGGAGCTAACCACATCAAAGAGAAACTCCTCTGACAGCTCTGCTTCCTTTCAGGAGTGTGATCAGGTCCACATCGAGGACGTGGCGTCTGACGACAACGGCCAGGACCTCAGGTGTGTCACATGACCTGGAGTAGTAGAGCTGAACCRTTAATCATGTTTGTGATAATCTGGTGATTTGTTAAAACCAGAGCAGACTGGTTTGACTGGTCAGGTGACTGGGAGTGAGCCGAGCAGAGCCGTGTTGCTAACTTAGCGACATTGTTGTGAAATCTAGCAGCTTTTTAGACCCCACTAGCCCTCTTTTTTTCAAAAAGAGACAAATTTGTCGACTTTTCCTGGTGTTTTTGGAGACTTTTAGAAGCTGAGAGGAGACCGCTGCTAAAGAATCACACAAAGCTGCCACTGCTCCTGCCTGTTTCTAAAGCAGGATGTAGTATTTAACGTTTTTCTCTGATGTCTATAAAATAAATCTGTGGACTCAGCTGGGTTTGACTCACAGATCAGTCACCTCCTCCCTGTCCCATGACGTCTAACTCAGGCTTCCTGGAGATCCTTAAAAACTCTTCAAAGTCATTGAATTCATCAATCCAAAAATAAGATCTTAATTAGCCTTAAAATGTCTTAAATCGATCTTTCATAGGTCTTAAATGTTAACACATTGTACGTAAGATGACAAATTCATCTCAAATATTACAATAACTGGTAACGTGTATTTGTGTTTTAAAAGAGTTGACTGGAGGCCTCTTACAGCTTGTTTTGTTTAAAAATAAATATTTGGCTAAAATTGTTGCTAACTGGGTTTTTTCCATTTGTGTTTCTTGTGAAGTTGGTGTTAAATTTTATTTGAAGTGGTATTAATTAGATCTTAAAAGTCTTAAATTTGACCTTGCCTTAAGCTGTAGGAACCCTGTAACAGTCTGCAGGTTAAATTTAAGATTATCACTAATTTAATTAATATAATGTGGATCTAAGCATTAAAGTCATACAATAAATTTATTTCATTAAGTTTAATTGTTTTAAACATATTTCGTGTTTTTCTTCACTTGTTTCTTCTAACATGTCTCCTACAGCTCACATCAGAATTACTGTCAAACATGATGATGTCATCTAACAACTTCAGTTATATTTTACTAGAAAATAAGTTGTTTAAAGCAGATGTTTATTCTTTTATGTTTTCATGATTTCACTGTCTGGAGAGCAGTAAGC